TGAAAAAGCGATAGGAAACCGCTGATTTGTGAAAACCAGGCACAGTGTGGCCTGAAGGTGTGATCATACTAGAGTGGGAGAGATGTACGACCATGCCCTTAAATTCGAGCGCCCTGTCTGCATGCAATTTGGTTTGACTCAGTAGTGAATGCAATCAGCACAAGGTGTAACGCTAAAAACATTTTCTTGACAGTCGTTTTTACACTTACATCTTGTCCAAGAAGTCCATTCGGTCCAAGTGCTGCTGCTCGTCTTTTGTCTGATGGACACAGTGTTTTCGGTACTGCACGGTGGCGAGCTACAAGAGGCCTGATCTCCAGCCTTACCAGCACAGTCATTGCCGTAACACTTTCTTTCGCGAACTTTGGTGTCTTCCTGATTGGAAGAATCGCTGCTGACCGTTGCCAAACGAGCCACGTTTACGGCGTTGCAACTGATACGTTCTAGAAGAACAACGAATTATGCCAGTTCGTCTTCGAAATCGTTCGCATTGACGAGTAGCCAACAAACATAATTTTGATTAGCTTGATTGATTAAACTAGAGAAGCAGAACAGAGCAAAGATTCAGGCTTCTCATCCTATCGATCCGAGTTGAAAGCCACGATGAAACAAATTTAATAATTTTGAACAGTTTGCTTCATATAAATCGTCTTCATTTCAGCTACTAATTCTGCTCTTTTACTGAGCTTACCCCATTGGGTTAATGGCGAAAGTGATCACAATAGTCATTGTACTGCCTGATACAACTATTTCCGTCACACGTCTTAACTCTAGCTACAAACCCGGTTCCAATAAGGCTCGTCATCCCAATATGTAGGGGCGAGTGAGAAGAGTTACACTAAGCTTGGCCTTTCCTGCGCGTGGCTTACTACCGTGAAATGCAGGTCATCTGCAAATATTTCTCTGGATTGTACAGCGGCACTCGTCATTCGTCATTTTAATTTATGTTATCTATAAATTCAATATATACGCGTAAACGTATTTAGCTCAGTAAATCATTTATGAAATTTATGTTCAGTTAAGTGCCAACATCTTCAAAAGGCGCGGCCAATACTTTAATTTGTACAAAGGGAACCTTTAAAATGAAATGAATTAACTATAATGCCATGTTTACTTCTTCAGAACACTATCCACT